TATGACATGAATTGAAGCAGTGGGAAATCATATAGCCGACCCAGACTTGTTTGGGACTGTGGTGTAGTTGTTGTTGTAGCAATTGCTTTTGAACTTTGGATTTGCTGTTATTTGGTCTTATATTTGTATTTCCTACTTTTATATTTTATCTTTTCATGAGAAGTTGCATCTACTGACTCTTTGTTTTTCTGTGTATGAGATCCTAAGACAGTTTTCTCTTTTTACTTTTGAATTTTTATAATCCACTTATTGTGAGTCTAGTTTGGATTTAGTGAAGTTTCAGTTTGCATGTAAGAAGAATTTCGACTGGTAATTCAAGTTCATGCTGTCTGGTGCTATATGATAACTTGGGATCTTCAGTCACTTATTAGGAATTTGAGATGGAATGTTAAACTAGTTAAGAGCACAAGTCTTACCTTTGGGCATGATAATTGGATGACTTAAGTACTTTTAGAAATTTTGTTATTACCAGAATTCAATAGGTTTGATAATTCAACTGTTGAAGATTAACATATTATGGGACAACTCAAGCAACGTCGAACTGAAAGTTTTCATCTTTTCTTTATAAGAACATGGTTTTAAGGTTTTGCTAATGAGAATGAAAATGCAGGATATACTGGGAAATGAGGTACCTTTAAGCAATTATAGGGGAAAGGTCCTTCTTATTGTCAATGTTGCATCTAAATGGTAAGTGAAGTGATCTAGTTCTGTTCTTGCATGTTTCTCTATGTCTTACTTACTGCGATCACGATTCAGGTGTAAACCTTTAGAAGTTGGGTTCCATCTAGAAGTGTCAATTTCTTTGCCACTTATTACAACATGTAAATAAGTGTGACTAAGATCTAGTTACTCCAGGAGAGTGAATATATGAAACATTGTGCTATTGGGGGCATTTGAGTTGTATTGCTCAATGTCGATGTTTTTTTTTTGGTTAAACTTAAAATTTTGTTTAACCGAGTATATCAATATGTACAAATGACTCATTGGACTCATGAGTCAGCTCTCAGTAATCTCTATAACTATTCTAATTGTTCCTTATCCAGCTACCTTCTATAACTACTGACAATATCTAGTGATAACATGTTTAACACTTTAGAATCTATACTGGGTAACTATTCAGGCCATTCAGCTGCTGTTGCCATTTGCCATTCTTCTGACCATATATATGTAATTGTAGTACAAATGTACAATTTCCTTGGTCAACTGTCTACTTTCTCGTCTCCGGTTTCTGAACCTTCTGGCATTCCTCTCAGCCCATATGTGGTAGATACTTGCTACAAATAAGAAGCCAATGATGCCTGCTCTTGCTCGAGAGTTATTAGTTCTCTTGGATGCCCAAATGACCTCCTCATCCCATCCTCTGATTGGTCTCCTCTCCCCTAACCAGTGTAGCAACGAGCTCCATATATACTTTGAATAGTCACAACAAAAGAAGAGGTGCTCCAATGTCTCCACTGCATTTGTGTTACATAGGACACAGTCTTGCACCACCTTAATTCCCTATTTCTGTAGTCTGTCCACTGTTGATAACTTCTTATGTACTGTCAGCCATAGAATAAACTGATGCCTAGGAATTATTCCTTTCACTAGGGCCAAGCTTTTCCACGAGACTTTTGGAAATGTAGGTATAAAAGATTGATAGGCCTTCTTGATACTGAACTTCTCTCTATCTTCAAATGATTCAAGGCCGTCCACAACATTACCAGATTGAGTCATCCATTTCCTTGCATCAAATATCTTCCTAACTAACCAACTGGCTTGGCTTGGGGTTGTCATGTTGTTCAGCTCCCTGTCCTTTATGTATATGCTATGGATCCATTGTACCCAAAGTTTGTCCTTTTTACCCATCGCCCACAATAGTTTGCAGATTGCCGCTTTGTTCCGGGTAAAGAAATCCAATATATTTAACCTTCCTGTTGCTTTAGGAAGACATACTATACTCCAGGCTATTAGGGCTCTTCTTGAGTATTCATTACTCCCAGGCCGTTGGAAATTCCTGCATACATTTGTCACCATAGTTAAGATCTTCTTAGGCAATAGGAACATTTGGGTCCAATATGTCTGCATCTCAAATAGTATACTTTTGATGAGTTGTACTCTACCACTGTATGATAGGAACTTAGTGGTCCAACATTGAACTCTAGCAATTATCTTTTCAACCAAGAGTAGACACTGGTGAATAGAAAGCTTCCTTGAAGACAATGGAATACCCAAGTATTTGAATGGCATCTCTCCAATAGTGAAATGCATATCTTGCATTATCTGAGCTTTAAACTCTTGTGTCACTCCTACAACATAGAATGAACCCTTCTCCAGATTGGCTTTCAGTCCAAAAACACTAGAAAAGTGATCAAATGCTTGCATCATGAGAAGAATAGTGACCTTGTCTGCCCTGCAACACATTAGTAGATCATCAGCAAAGCAAATGTGAACTATTTCCTTTTTTGCACACCTAGGGTGGTAATTGAAGTCGGGATTGTTTCTAAGTTGCTTCAAGGATCTATTTAGGTATTCCATAGCTAGAACAAATAGAAATGGGAACATGGGGTCCCCTTGTCTCAACCCTCTCTTAGCATGGAATATAGGAGTTAGACCACCATTTAGTAGCAATGAATAACTGATTGTGGATACACAATTCATGATCAAATGGACCAGCTTATGAGGGAATCCAAATTCCACTAGCACTTGCCTCAGGAAATCCTAATTCAGAGAATCATATGCCTTTCTGATATCTACTTTTTCTAGGCATCTAGGTGATACTCCTTTTTTCCCATAACCCTTCACTAACTCATGAGCTATAATCACATTGTCCAGGATATTTCTACCTTCAATGAATGCAGATTGGGATGGACCCACCAAGTAATCAACCATAGGTTTTATTTTTATAGTTAACACCTTTGCAACTATCTTATAGACAGTACTACAACATGCTATGGGTCTGAAATCTTTAGCATAAGTAGGACTAGAAACCTTAGGAACCAAGGTGATTGTGGTACAGTTGACCTCCCTTAACAATTTACCATTGTCAAAAAATTGTAAATGGCTTTAATCATAGCTTCTCCTACTGTCTCCCAGTGTGCTTTAAAAAATTCAGCTGTAAATCCATCAATACCAGGAGCTTTGTCATTTGGAAGGTCTTTGATAGCTTGAATTATGTCTTCTCTAGTAACTTGTTTTAGTAATTCCTGTTGCTGGCTCAATGAAAGGCAAGGACCATCTCTAGCAATAGTAGTATCAATGCAAGGCAATATTGACTCTACATCTCCCAGCAACTGCTTATAATATGTCAAAAATTGTTGTTGTACCAAATCTGGCTCTGAGATTAGGACTCCTTGGTCATTGCAAATAGAAGAGATCTTGTTCCTGGCTTGTCTTGCTTTCAGTTGTGCATGAAAATACTTGGTGTTGGCATCTCCATATGATATCCATATAGCTCTGGACTTCTGCCTTAATATTTGCTCTTGAATTCCAGTCCATTTTTCTAATTGAGTAAGTAATTCTTTCTCCTCAACTATCAACTGATTATTGAACATGTCCTTGACCATTTGATTCTGCACTTCCTGCACCTTCTGTTGTAGTTTTTCAATTCTAATCTCTGTGTTGGACATCTCTTTGTTCATCACCCTTGCTTCACTTTCAAATGCCTTGAGTTTCATCCACAATCTATGCATATGACATCCAGTGAAGTTTTGATCCCAGCAATGTTTGACAGCTTCCTTAAATGAATCCTGCTTGAGTAGTACATTAAGGAGTCTGAAAGGTCTTTTTAACTTTTGTCTAGGAATCAATGTTCTGATAACAATAGGAGTATGATCTGAACATTCTGAATTATAGTAAACGGTCTCTAAATTTCCATAGTCTTGGAACCACTTATCATTACCCACCACCCAGTCAATATTGCTATAAATCCTATCATCTCCATCCCTCTTATTACACCATGAGTATTGCCAACCCTTTCTATTAACTTGACCTAGACCAATATCAGTGACACAAGAGTGGAAGTCTACTGTTTCATTTACATGCACTGGCAGCCCATTAATTCTACCTTCTGTGGAGAGAATAGCATTGAAATCACCAAGAATAATCCAAGGCTCAATAGTATAAGTGCTAATGTGCCTTAGTGTCTCCCATAATACCCTTCTGCCCCCTGCAGTATTGTAACCATATACAAAAGACATCTTGCATTGGAATTGAGAGTTTTTATCTTCAACAGAGCAGTGTACCACCTGTGGAGTGCTTTCCAGAATAGTAAGAACACACAACTTTGTCTCGAGCCTAACCATATTCTACCATTTGGGACTTGAGTATAATCATAATGAAAGCTCCAATCTGTATTAAACTTTCTAGTAATTTTTTTGGCATTCTTTTGTCTAACTTTTGTTTCTAGACACCCTATTAAGTCAATTGCAAAAATTTGAATTCTTTTTGCTGAAGGGCTTGCTTAGCCCCCTAATATTCCATGAGCAAAAAATCATGGGGGAGGTTTGGCAATGGGGCCATTCCTCTGCAACTTTCCACTGTTCCTTTTCTGTGTCCCTGAATTCTTCGACTTGCAAGGTCTCCAATCTTTAAACATAGCTTACTGAATTGATTGAAGTCGACCTCATTATCTGACTCTTCATATGTTTGTGGGTTCTCCTTTTTGCCTTGAAACACTACCACTTGCTTCCCTCTAAATTGAATTTGGGAAGGGGCAGTGTGAGTTTCCTCCTGTTGTACAATTGTTGGAGTGTGGACTGCCACATCTTGGTCTACAAGTGGAGCTGTTGGCCCTTCTGCATTAGCTTTTGGTTTAGGCTGCCATTCTTGCCTGGTGTGTTTATCTTGCTTGGGTACATTCCTGATAAAGCCTTGCGTTCCCTGCTTCTGTTTTGGACAATGCTCCTTGTGATGTCCAAATTGCATACAATCTTGACATAGAATAGGCTTCCATTCATACTCAATCTTTTGGCTCCAAATACTACCATCTAAGACTTCAACATTAACAGATTGAGGCAATATTTGGGTGATATCCATCTCAATTAATACTCTTCATATGATATTCTTTCACCTTTAGCTGTTAAAATATCAGTGCACATAGGTTTGCCTAGGAAGCTAGCAATTCTTCCTAGATTTTCCTCAGACCAATATAGGAGTGGCAACCCAGAGAAGCATACCCATATTGGTAATACACGCATTGGTTCCTTGTGCAACTGAAATTTTGGACTCCACTGTTTCAGAATCATTGGCCACTTCCTAAAAGTGTAAGGCCCATTTTGCATTATGCAGGCTTTGTCCTCCTCAGATTCAAACTTAAAGATATAGTACCCATCATCATGTAGGAAAACCCTAGGTGTTTTCACAGAATGCCAGACCCCATACACAAATTGAAGCATTTCCTTGAATTTTGGGGTTCCTCCGATTACATACCCAATAAGCGCGCATTGCCATTTCTGCTTCTGTTTATCTATTTCCTGGTGATTCAATTGCATAACCTTGATCCCATCTTTTATCACCGGAGGATAGAAATTGAGTTTCATACCTTGAGTTTGTGTCCGATTATTCTTCACCACCTCTGCCATTGTTGGCATTGCATGTGTCTCTGTCGCAAAGGTCAATTTCCGGGCAGGTTGGACATGTCCTTCTTCTCCGTTCTTAGCTTGCTGGTTTTCCCTTTTCTCCATCTGACTCGAGCTCCCTGGTAACCAGCTAGCCAACTGTATTGGGGCTAGGTTTTGCTTTACCCCTGAAGCTGGAGTGATTTGCCTCATCAATTTGTCGGAGTCTGGTTTTGGGGCCGATTCCACCGTTAGCTGAACTTTAGGGTTCGACCCTTGAATTTGTTCATGTGAAGATTCTGTTTGTGTATCTCTCTCCTCTGTCTCCTGGGTAGGACTTTGGATCTGAGTGGGTTTTGGATCAGGAATTTTTGTAGTAATGGTTGGGGTATAGACCTGAGGGGCTCTCCGTTTCTGGCGAGCCATGGTGGTGGTGCACGTTAGCGGGCCGTTCTTAACATACACCCGTGGACGTTCTCTCTCCTCTCTCTAAACCCCTTTTGTTAGGTCACTAAATTTCTGTCGATGTTAATTGATGCAAACTAGATTGACTTTATTTTGGGGGTTTACACCTGCTTAAGTGCGTCTTTACTTTTTAAAAGTATTTATTTGATCGTCGTGGATGCTTCTCTTGGCTTTCCTGGCTAGAAAAGTTCCCAGCAGTTTTTAAACTTCTTTTAGCAATTTAACTGATAGGTGATTTGCAACAATGCAGTGAAAAAGATATTTGAGATTGGTTTGCAGATAGTTTTTTGGACTGTCTTGGTTGTTCATGCCGACTGGTAACTATGTATCACAATGTCCACAAGTACATGCACAAGAAGAGCTGAAATTAGGGGGAACCATCTGCCTCATATTGCTGAATAAGAGAATTATAGTATTTGTAAATTTCTCCATGCTGAAATTGATAACTGCCTCTTTATTTGATCACGCCCTTTTTGAAAAATTTGGAATAATAAGGACAATATATCTTAATTGTTTGTACTGGTTTAGTTGCTTTATTGAATTTTAGATGTGATCGGTTTCAAGCCGTGGAAACAGCCTCTTGCAGAAATGTAGGATAAGGCTGCGTACAAGACCCCCGACCCCGCGCATAGCGGGAGCTTAGTGCATGGGCTGCCCTTATATTAATTTATGCCTCATTACAGCAAGTCTGTAATTTAGAGAAAAAAACGGGGTGTTTGTTAGAGGCAAGCTGCCCAGTCTTTAAATGTTTTAGTTATCTCTCTTCCTTGCAGTGGTTTAACAGATTCAAACTACAAGGAGCTAAATATTCTGTATGAGAAGTACAAAGATCAAGGTTGGCTAGTCATTTTTACAAGTTTATTTCTTCAATTTCAATATGTGATGAATTTTTGTGATATTTAACCATATTGTGTGATCATAAACATAATTTTTTAAAGTTCTATTTCAGGTTTTGAAATTTTAGCTTTTCCTTGTAACCAGTTCTTGTGGCAAGAACCTGGAACAAATGAGGAGATTCAGGAAACTGTATGCACCAGGTTCAAAGCTGAATTCCCTGTATTTGAAAAGGTAACCACTACTGTATGATCAATTTCTGGTGATGCATGGTTGAACCATACTATGAAAACCATTTAAATCATTATAGTTGTGCCTTGTCTCTCTGTCTTATATCTCTCTTTCGTCTTTAAGCCTTGCTCAGGGAATAACCCATGGACACAACATTAAACTCAAAAACTATCCTAAGATGAAACTCAAAACTATCTCAGTTTCTCTTCTTAGTTATGTTATATGTATATGTCTCTATATAACGCACACACTCATCTATCTATCTATCTATATATAAGATGAAAAGATGAATGAGGTATATAATGCCATAAAATCCACTTTGTTTAAGGAAGTTTTGTCATTCAAACAGGTTGATGTGAACGGGGATAACGCTGCACCACTTTTCAAGTTCTTAAAATCAGAAAAAGGTGGTTTCCTTGGAAATGCTATCAAGTGGAACTTCACCAAATTCCTTGTGAACAAAGAAGGAAAGATTGTGGAACGATATGCACCCAGGACACCACCTCTTCAGTTTGAGGTCACCTTAAACTGTTTTTCTTCTGTTCATTTATATTCTACCTTTGCTTGTTAATACTGGTCATTAAGGGCTCGTTTGGTACGAGAGATATGGGATAATTGATCCCGGGATTAAGTTTGAGATGAGTTTATCTCATGTTTGGTTGGGATAAAATCGTGGTATAACTAATTCCGGGATTAGTTATCCCGGGATTGTAGTGTTTTTTCTATCTCTGTGGGAGGGTTGGATAACTAATCCGAGGATAATTGATGATGGAATGACTTGTTTCCCAACCAAACGACCCATAAGGGTTCAGGAAATAAAAGGAAAATCTTTTCTTGTCTTAAGTGGTAGATTGCTGATATGGAAAATTTATTTCCATGAGTATTATGGTTCTTTTGATAGAAAAAAATTATATATGCAAGAAACAGATTGAAATAAATATTGCTGAAGCTCTCTTTTTTTGGTCTGTTACTAATTTCTCTTCCTTCTCATTTTACAGAAAGACATACAAAATCTGTTGGGTTCTTCTTGAGCATCCAGGTTTGCATCCCCCCGCTTACCCCTTTTTATTTCTTCCTAATTTAAAAAAAATGGTAAGTTTATACCCTTATTATCCATTGATAGATACACTATGAATAGGCATGATAAACCTCTAACTTCATACTTGTTGAATTAGATATGAGTACATGCAGCGATGGAAGTAAATCCAATGTACTATTCTCATCATTATTCCACCGAATCTTTACAACTTTATTAGAAGAAAATGATTTTTCATTTTTCAGTTTGGCATTTAATAGTTGCTTTGAAATGTCCCTGGACTTCCCTGGCCCCTCTTAAAAATTTCCTTGTAAACTACTTGCGGATGAACCAATTTTGGTACTCCACCTTTTTTATTACACATTGGATTATCAAAAATTGGATTCGTCGTGTTTGATCTTCAGCGCTATGGATTTTACCTAAGCTAACAATTATATTCTGTTTTTATCTTTCAGGACTATTGAACAAGAATCTGTTATTCTGTAAGGCAAGTGCCAGACTCCAGCATATAGTTGGAAAGTTTAGTTAGTTATATCTTTTTCATCTTCCCTGTGTCTGTTATTGTGCTTCCCTGCCTATGAGCTTGTCACCCCCCTCTCTTTCTTTTGCCTCGTTGATGTACTTTGGTTGTGTGAACTCCGTCTTGATGTTGAATTTGTGAAAATAAAAGTTGCAGTAAATAAAGTAGATCGACATATAAGCATCGCCTGACGAATGATCTTAATTATAATTGTCTGCAATAAGCTAACCGGAGTATAATACGTTGTTCTACAAGTCAAGGTGCCAAATATGACGACGACCTCATGCTCTAGAAATGTAAATAATATCATGTGGCCAACACCATGCACAACTTGCAGGATTTGTTAATAAGCTTTTTGCCTTTGAAGTAAGACTTTTTTGCTTGTTTCTTTCCATGTCTCACCTCAACGTGTGAAATATGCTTTATACTTTAGGTCTGAATGTCACCATTCACATTCAAGTTGCAAAAAGTTATTCGACTCATACACTGTTTGGCCCAGCTGAAAAAAATCAGCTTATTTTGATAAGTGTTTTTCGAAAAACTACTTTTGAAGAAAAATAGTTTGTGTTTGGCTAATCAATTTGAAAAACACTTTTGAAAAATAATTTATATTTGGCCAAACTTTTCAAAAAGTACTTTTAAGTGTATAATTACGAACAAGGACATGAATAGATTTGCTTAGTAGTTAATGTTATATAAGTAGATAAATAATTACAAATATTTATTATTAAGGATAATGATTAAGTATTTTATTTTATTTAAGTAAAATATAAAAATAAAATTGAAAAGTAATTTATTCTTTCAAGATAATTTAAATATTTAATAAATATGAAAGTTCATCCCAAAAATCATTATATATTACTTAATAGTTTAAATTAAGTAAGGTTATTTTGGTAAATATAATATTTTGCTAAGGGTATTTTTGGCAGGAAGAAAAGCCAAAACTGCTTCTGTTTTGGGCGAGGCTACTTTGTTCTGCTTCTCTAAGAATGCTTTTGCTTCTAGCAAAAAATATTTTTTTCCTCGAAAGCGCTTGGCCAAACACCTCAAATCGAGGAAAAAGTACTTTTCTAAAGAAATAAAAAGCACTTTTGTCGAGTTCGAGCCCTGGGTATGGAAAAATCCTTGGTAGGGAGCGTTTCCCCCCGAAAGGGGCCCTACGCGGCGCGAATCCGGATATAGTCGGGCTCCAATGCGGGTACCGAACACCGGATGGGAAACCAAAAAAAAAAACACTTTTGACCGGGGAGAAGCTTGGCCATACAAGCTAAACCTTCATCATAGCTTCCTCATTGTTCGGGCTTATAAAGGCTTTCCGAGGTGTACATTCACTTTGTCATATGCATCTAATGAATTATAGAAAATCAATTGGAATAGAGTATTACCAAGCAGTAGCTCAGGCTTATGCGACCTACCTTAACTCTTCCTTTTTTTTTTCTTTTAACCAAAACTCAAAACCTATCTAGTAAAGCAAGTCGCCTTTTAAATATTAGACCTGTGTTATTTGGTTCATGTTTTAAGATGTCACGACCCAATTTAGGATTATGACTGGCACCTAGGAGAAAGTGCCCCCGAGTAAGCCTCAACGGTATTTTACAGAAAATCGGACAGAGTTTTTCCTGTTTTTGGACTATCCCAAAAAAATTTCTGTCTCAATCAGCAATCAAACATTCTAATATCATACCAAACAACTGACAACTTATCAATTTACCAAAACAGAAGTCTCCGCCATTACTAAATCAACCCACTAACAACCAGAAATACTAATTATCTCCAACTTTGATACTAAAGAACGATACTCAACATAAGACTAATAGCAAAATAATACTCATGACACTAAAAGAATGACTATGGAGCGACTCTAAGAATTCAAAGAAAAGACCATAACAATTGATAAAAATCTCCGCCCACGCGAACAAGTGCGAGGCTCACCAGGAATTCTCAACCTGTGCGCTCTAATTAACGAAACCCTCGCCTGCGTCAACTGCTGTCTCTGTAAAAAAAGTTTAGCGAGGAATGAGTCGCTAGCTCAGTGAGTAATAACATTTAACCACAACCATTTTTATTTGGGGACAAGTCAGAAAACATGCTAGTATCTCAAACAAAAAATAACACAAAAATGCCCTTTCAGAAACAATAATTAATTTTCAGTCTCATCACGCTTTTCTTGTAGTAAAATATAATTAACAATTCAGTAATAAGCTCGGTAAGCACTGTATAATATCAGTATTCATATTTTGGGAGGTTTCAATGAACGGATCATGTAATCGGTATAACTGTGGACTTCTTTGCAAGAAGTCATATATAACGGTAGTCCCTACTCGAGGGAAAATCGGTAACGGTATGCTAGTTCTACCTTCCCACTAGCGAGGGCTATAACAGTAATCGGTAAATTACAAGGTGCACCAGATCTAACGAACCCGTCGTTAGCTACGGGATCCTCCAATGTCAACTCCCATTTATACTTGTCTCTGTAATCCGTATATACTCGTAGAACCTTTTAAAACAATATAGGGCATTTTGGTTCTTATCAAATCATATAATTTCTTTTCGATAACAGTAAATTCAAGTAACGGTAAAACAGATCTAGTGACAATGAAAATATTTAAAACCACGGTATTCATCTCAAATAACTATTTCGGTATCATATCGAGTAAATGACTTGTCCCACATGCAAATTCAAATCAGTCAGTAACATGTTCATAGTAAAATCATATGTAAATCATGCTAGTTGTAGAAATACAAATTGCGGTAAGATTACTACTCACAGTACTCGTGCCGAAATACCAACTGCTTCACCTCAAGCAACTCGTACAAATTCCTCCAATCAATCTATAATTACATAATACCATCTCATGTTAATTCTCTTGTTTAGGCTAATTCATGGCTAACTTAGAATACCCAATCATCGGGGTCCATGTCTGAGTCTAAATTTGTGAATTAATAATTAATCATAGAACTAGTCCATAGTTCTATCAATTTCAAACTAATTAATATAATTTACTCCTCTAAAATTAGACCTATCAGTGCTTAAACCAAACCCTTATAGCCTTGTTATCTCCATAGTAATTGTATATTTCTTTTTATATAAGAGAAAGTTGATATTGAATTCCTTTGTACTACATGAAATTGTATAAATACAGTAA